AAAAAAAAAAAAAAAAAAAAAAAAAAAAAAAAAAAAAAAAAAAAAAAAAAAAAAAAAAAAAAAAAAAACAATGAGACATGGAAAGCTCAACTTGCACACCGGGCCCCTAATAAAACACACGAAAATCATTGATTGGGCCTGCAGCACTTTTTGAGAGCGTCCCTCGCCATGGGATCGCATGTGTCTTGCAGTCCGTCCCTCCTGTTGACGCAGGCCTTGTACTTGACGAGCCTATCCCGGGGCAGGTTCTTCGCGCAGTCCTGCCTCAGTCCCGCGATGACCGGCATCGACCTGGAGTCCAGCTTCCTCTCGAAGAACAACGGCGAGCTGCACCCCGTCTTGACCCCGCCGTCGTTCCTGGACGGATGATCCGCGACCGCCTCGGACCTACCCTTGCAACCATCCCTGTAGTCCGGTATCTTGGACTTGAGCGGCACGTACTCGAACTTCTTGACGCCCCTCAGCTCCGAGTTGGTGGGGTCCAGTCCGTTTCTCCGTTTGCAGCTGTACCCCTCGGTCACGAGCTCGCAGTACGGCAACACTGGTGGGCACTGGTCAATCTTCTTTTCTTTGCACGGGCTCGGCTCCAATGAAGGACGGGCCTGATCACTGCCGGGGTCCTGGTTGGTGCTCACCGATACCTTGGCCTTGGCCTGGCCGCAGGAGTCGATGCAGGTCTCCGCGGTTATGGCCGTCTTGACGCGCTTGCCGTTCGCGGGGAAAACTATCTCGATTGGCTTCTTTAGCTGGCAGTGCTCCTTGCTCTCGTTCGGGATCGACACGGCCCTGCTGCTCTCGCAGTTCTGGCTGCTCTGCAGCTTCAGCTGGTCCACCAGTTGAGCCACCAATCTAGAAGCAAGGACATGGGGTTCTCGGCGTTAGGCAATGGAATTTGTTTATTGATTGACGGTATTGTGAAAGATAATCACCTGGAAACGGGGTCCGTCTGGCACTTGTCAGCCTCGAGGAGGACGTACATTTTCGTAGCCATCGCAGCTCTCGCTTGCCGGGACACGTAAAAATCACCGCACAACAGGCCCGTGAGTCTTATCTGCTCGTGGAGACCTTCGAGAGTTTCGAGTTACACTAAGGCAGCGCACGCGCGTCGATCGAGCGGAGATAGGTGCGTTTTTACCGAGGCATGAATTCCCGATCGGACGGAATCTTCGCACCTCCCTTTGTCTTTTGCTTTTACTGTTTTTTTTTTTTTTTTTTTTTTTTTTTTTTTTTTTTTTTTTTTTTTTTTTTTTTTNTTTTTTTTTTTTTTTTTCTAATTTGGACCCGTTTGCACTCTGGCTAGCTCGGCGAGTCCTGTGTGCTTTTACTGTTTGCAAAGAAATATCCATCGTCATTTTTGTTCCTTCTTTATTTGTATTTCAAGAAAATTTTATCAAAGTATACTAAAAGCGTCTGTCTAATTTTGGCGCACACAGGATTTTTTTTTTTTTTCCTACCCAATAACCTACAATGAGCCTTTTGTGATTGAGTTGGTTGGTGATTATTCTACGCGTCAGCTAGTGTTATTTAAAACCTTTAAAGGAGAAAGAGGAAAGTCCAACATTCGTGTGGAGCGGCCTTACTCGCATATTTGCTTATCGTAACTAACACAGGGGCATGGGACACTGGCTATGTTAATTTTTGTAGGTTTAGTACAAGTGATCGAGAGATTGGTGCGAGTTAGAGGTCCATTTTTAAATCGGGTCATTCATCAAAATACTTTTATACTAACATGAATCACCACGAGACTAAAATAAATACGAAAGGAATGTCTGGTCCAAATGGAATAGTTTTCAATATTTCTTCGGCTCTCTTTTCAACTATTTCTACTCGAATAAAATCTTACACAGATAATCGAGCGCATCTCGGTTTAAAACACGAAAATAACACGGGAGACATAGACCATAGACATTTACGTACCTCTTTTTTGATGTTATCTTTTTTCGTATCTGGTCTGCAGGGTGTCGACATGGTTTTTGTATGGATTGGAAATGAACAATTTGGTACTGCTTTCAGGGTATCTGAAACACAAAAAGTTAAATTACAATCGCAACTGTCAATACAAGCACATTGTACCTTTAATTTTTATTTTATCGTAACCATAATAAATTTTTCTTTCAAAAAGCGTCAGAAAGAATAATGGCCTTTGACGGCAAATTTGTCGTCGTCACGTATTTTTTGAAGAAAAGGGAAGAAAAAAGTCCCTTAACCGCACTGCCGTCCGTAAAGACATGCCTGCACTAGTCAAGACGGAAACTCGCCTAGTTCTTTCATGTGCGCATCTCCGGCACACCTGAAGAAGGTGCGAAAGGAAAAAGGACCAAAAACGTGAGTCCCTGAATGTCGGTCCCTGCGTTTCATTCTGTGTACGTGTGTGGCTGAAACGGGGAATCTTTCACGTCACAGTCGGGGTCGGTCTAAAATCCGCAATAAACTTGCCAGACAACGTTTACTATTGTTCGGGTTTTCATTTTCCTTTTTTTCGTGCAACAGTGTCTGCGGTGTCTTTTTGAGTGCTCAATTGTATACACTATCGGATCGTATCGCTTCTTTTTATTCATTTGCAAGTAAAGTCGTGTCTTTACTATAGTTAAAATTGAACACGATTGAGAGTTTAAAAATAAAGGGGTGCATAAAAATTATAGGTTAATCGTGACATTTACCCGTACCTTTGAATTTGACGATTCGTCTCTCACTTGAAATTTTGAGTGCCGAAGGGAGTGCGCCAACGACTTACAGTGAAATCGTTAGCGTTGAAATTTCACTGGTAATTTTCCGGGAGGGAGGGATGAAAACTGAAAATTTTGCCAGCGCGAGTTGCCGCTGCTTCGATCCAAACGAGACTGTCTGACGTTCCATCTTTTATCGTTGTGTTGTTGTTTTTTTTTTTGTTTTTTTTTTTTTTATTTTTCTTTTGTTGGTGGCAATTTTTCATTCATCAAAAGCTGACCAGTATACAACCAAAAAATGCTACAATCGCTCGGTAACCACTTTTGGCCCTTTCGAAAAATTAATTATCCCGTCATCACCTTCCAAGCCATGCAAACGCAATTTCGTTCCACCCCATACCGAAACTGAAAACTGGAAATGGGAAAAGAAACGAAAAAAACAACCTAGCCAGAAGCTCCGACAAAAATACCCCAACATCGTCCTCATCTTGACGCATCATCTGGCTCATTTCGAGCGCCTCCTCTGCGAACTCTCGATTTAGCCGAGGGACGCGCCACCTAGAAACCCCTACGTATATTTTTGGGGCCCCAAACGCACTCGGTGTGCACTCGCGGCCTGGGTGAAAAAATACTCGCTGATATGATCGAGATCGACCGATTTTCGACACCGCGGCGCAGAGCTGTAGTAGCGAGTTCCTCGGAATTATTTACGATCAGGCTCGAGGGGGAAGAGGGGTGTGCGCACACGTGGAAATAAATCGCGCGCGCGGGGGTCGGCGCACCGTCTGTCGGTGCGTGGAAACAGCGAGGTGTGTTTGTGCTCGTAAATTAGGAGCTCACGGCGGCCCTTAAATCTCGCGCCCGGGAGGGAAACGCGTGTCTGCAGTGGGTGCCTATATTTCATAGGTTGTTGCCTATTTTGTGAGTTGGTTACGGCTGTATATAGGCTGTACCTGTATTATATTTATGTGTGTGTGGAATATAATGTACCTTTTAATGGGTAGGTACATGGCACGCGCGCGCCTCCGTTCTGTTACTCCTTTTTTTTGTCCACGTAGGGGCGATAAGCTGTGAGTTTGAAGTTTTGCAGCTCTTTTTTTTTTTTTTAGATCTCTGACAGGGGGGGAATAATTGTCGATCAGAAGGGGGGTACGAAAATTTTGAGTTTTCGGTATAGGTTCTCCACGTGTGAGCTAGCAGTTCGACGCTAATGGCCGATAATTGCCGTGCGCGGGTAATTGTACAGCTGCCGCTCGACCCTTTACATTACCACGGCGTTACGTAATTTACGATTTGCCGGCCGAGCTTTTTCGACGAGATTTCTTTTTTTTCCGTCCCCCCTCACTCTCTCTCTCTCTCTTTGTTTTTGATTTATCACCGGTTGTTGGTGGATTTTTCTTTTTTTCTTGCCTCTTCCCTCGGATGTATTTATGGACGAGTTTTTTTGAAAATTGGCTTCGAAAGCTCATTCAAAGCATTGGCTTGATTGTGAAGTTCAAACAAAATGCATATCATATTGTTACGACGCATAATTTTGCCTCTGCCATCGCAGTGTGCGTGCATACACGAAGAAAACAGCATTGACAAAACCTTGCATTTCGTACCCGCGTAAGGAACCTTTTGAAAGAGCGTCTCTCGGCCACAAATGTAAGATAAGCTGCGTATACGCGATGCCTACATGGTATTTTGTGAGTCACTTTACTCTCTTTGTGTCAGCACACTTCCCGCACTAACACGCGCGTCTATGTATGTATAATGCACTTTGGAGCGCATCAGCGTCTCGGCGTTGACTGATCACGCATATCTTTCTCCTTCGCTTTCGAGGGTATAATATACCTAATACACACACTACGAGCGAGGGAGAAAACCCCAGCGAAGAGAGAAGGAGGAACAAGATAATGTTAGCACACGAAGAAAGATGAGCTCCCCCTTTGTTCCCCTTTCCCATCACTGTACTTTGACGTTTTTCCTTTTTTTTCGTATTGGTTTTAAATTAGGCGTTTTTGTTGCATATAACTTAACATGTAAAACATTGTATACCTTGTATATACTGTTATAACTGCACGATTATAACGACGCACTTTATTTTCTGTTTCAGGTGAGTGTCCTACGATTAACAGACTCCGACCCGGTGAATCATAGCCACAAACACCAGTAGCCGGGTAATGTTAAAAAAAAAAAAATTTATAAAAAAAAACTCACCCCATCGGGGCACACAGGTATATAGAGTTCCGACAACGAGGTGCTCATACAACGGGTCATTAATAACTTCTGGTGTAGGGGAAAAAAAAAACAAACTTTTTTTCATCCATTCGCGTACCTATGTATAAGAGCGAGCGAGTCCAATGAACCAACGTTCCCTATCACGGGCATCCGGCGCTCATTACGAGAAAGAGCCAATGAATGTCTCGCACGTGCGTACACAGCCAGTGTATCCCCTGTACATGTATTATACCCGCGACGGTTTATCGGCCGCTCGTATATAGCTGCCACTATACTCAGTACACGGATACATAACACAGCTGACGCTCTTGCCTCTGATCGATCGCTAAATTACTCACATGGCGCACGTGTACGTATATGATGTAGCTCGACGCATCCCGGTTGAGATTTCGTGTATAATAGGTACTCGTATATACCTAGTGTACGGCTACTCGCTCAAGTACACCACGCGGTCATGGTGAATTTCAAAAAAACCACGCCGTGGGTACACCTATACCTATCCGTTAATAAACTTGGGTTTTTGCTCTTGCGGTCGTTGGTACACACCAGATATAAACAGTTCCGGGTGAATTTTTGTGGGCACACCGATACTGATGTATACACAGGCTCGACTTTAATTTTATTCCTTAACTGGGAAAAAAATTATAACTCTGCAACAAAGCTCGTTACGAATGCCACAAGTTTCACCGCTTATGGTGCAGAGAAAAATCTACACTCCACCGCTGAGATGCATCACAAATTCATATTGAGTATGCAATACGAGCTCGCTGAAACTAACTGTCCCAGGGAGGGAGAGTGTGTTTGTGTGTCTGTATTGTACACAGCTTGCAGTCGCATTCTACAGATCAGCACGTATATTATATGGGTGCAAGTGGGCTCCGGTACGTCGCACTGGTAATTACGAGAGCGTAGCCGGCCGTCTGTGATGCTAATTATTATGAAGATGCGAGAGAGATCGCTTTGAAGAATGGCCACGAGGCCCGTGATGCATGCGAGCGGAGATGCTGCGTGATTTTTGCGCCATTAGTTTGCTAGTGTGCCTAGTACGAGAATCTTTGATTATTCATTTTCAACTGTTTGCAAATGTACGTATATTTTCGCGCTATCAGTCGTATACCTGTCTCGGGTTACCTACTGTTTGTTCGGCTCGGGGTGAGACGCACAAACTTCACAGTTAGCACGTATGTGCATCTACACTTAGTTCCAAGTTATGTCTCTCGCGCTATTTCATTTTTGCCCGAAGGACTTGGTGCAGCAAGTTCGTGCATTATAACTTTGCACCCGAGGATACAGTCCTCGTATCGACCTGCACCTAGGCCGCCCTGGCTCGGGTATTCAATTAAAACTTGTCAGATTACAATCCGCCCGTACAATTTACATGGAAGCATATGATGTAGAGCCGCGGTATGTTATGCACCTCCGTGCCTTCGATTAACAATTACCTCATCTTCCTTTTGGCAAAAACCAAGTGACGCAACGACACAACGGTAGTGTACCCGTTAGCCATTTTATCCCGACTCTCCGTTCGGCCGATGCACGCGCTATAATTGCGCTAATATTCCCCCCCGAGAGCTTCCTCGACGCGGTATTAGCTAGTCTCTTTCTTACTGTCTTCGCGGAGCAACAACAAAAAAAAGGGCACGCTGCACAGCTAAGCAGCTCGTCGCGGCTATAAATTAAGACAACGACGGCGTTATTATACCGAGCGAGTGGCTTTTTTTCGTGCGTCACGGGCTGGGTTTTCCTCCCCTTTTTTCATTATCTCTGCTTCTGGCCATTAATACACGTAAATATAAATTTTCTCCCAGGGAGAAAATGAAGCGCTCAACGCGCGGGTATATGGGATTATAAACGCGTACGAGCTAATTTTTCGGAGAAAGAGCTTATCGCGCCAAACAATGGCACGTCGATCGATACTGCGAGTATATAGTAAGAGCAGGGGGTAACTCGTCGGGCTTATACAGTATTATTATATCATCTCTTGGTTGGCGGCTGCTCAGCTCAGCCAATTTGCGGATTAGTCCTCGGTGTGTGTTTTTCCAGAGATACAAGGGCCTTTTGTACGTATATTATAATGGACTCTTGTTTTTGATAACGAGCTGTGATAATGAAATTATCAATACCGATAATGGTACTCGTTTTTCAAACATTGATTTTTTGGGGGAAATAGTAAATAATCCACCCGCGAAAAAAAAAAAAGAGAGGTACCATGTATCACCGTGGAGGCATAAAAAAAAGTGCTCGAAAGTTGCAGCTGGAGCTCTCGCTTCCCTATCCATCAGCTACTACTTTTGCCGCTATGTCTTTCAAAGAGGAGGCTTTTGTCGAGTCTGCAGCGACTCGCTCGTAAGATGTCATTGTACACCCAGCCCAGGGTCGGCAGATAAAGAGGGTCCGCAAGCTTTGCTCTGACACGCATATCGTGTACAGACGGAGAGGAAGAGAAAGGAAAAAGAAAAGACAGGACAGGACTTGTCGCGTCGCCTAGACAGATTTCGCACGCAAAATGTGTGACTCCTCCCTTTTATCTCCTCGTCCGCCTTAACCTGATGGCTATGTTTTTTCAACGCACGCGTGAGCGCGCCTCCGACGAGCTATGAAACTTCTTTTTCTTTTCATCAGAGAAATACCTAAGCAGTTTTTAAGTGGTATCTGGTGTTATTGCCAAAAGCTCAACAAATTAATCGCAATGACAAAAGTTTACTACATCACCCCTAAGGAAAACATGTGGATTCAGCTTTCCGATATTTTAATTCACACGATACTTTTTAACGCATCTGGAGACATTTTTTTTTTTTTTTTACTTTTACGACTCATCCCGTACAGAATTCAAGAGAAAACAGAGAGCGCAGTTTGAAGGAACTCGTTCACATTTTTCCTCCCTTGTGAATCACCATCGTGTGAGAACAATTTTTAACCATACTCCGAGTTTAAACAACGATAGGTCTAATTAATCAATTAGCAGCACATCATATGCGCGTCATGACTTGGTGCTGTAAATAGTTTTTAAATATCAGACTTTCCCTGATGTACGTGGTAACTATTTTTTTTCTTCCTTCCATTAATACATCACGAGGTGTATATACTTATGAACCACCTGCATCCGCACATTTATTTTAATCAACGTGAAAGTACACGGATTATAAATACCCCTGCAATCAATAGTAATTTATCTCTGTACGCGTTTATAATGTGCTATTTTCTTAGTAGGTTGTTGGTGTCTTCCTCTCATACTGTTCCCGATAAGCAAAAAAATAATAATTTCATTCCTCTGTAAATTTTTAAGCTTGAGAATAGTCAGTGCCAAAAACCAAAGAGCAACCACTTCATTTTCGTACAGTATGTTTTTTTAACTCGACTGTGAAATCGTATCCCGTTGAGAACCGCAGCACTAATGGTCGCAAAAAAAAGATAGAAGGAAAGAAAGAAATATATGAACCAAGTGGTGAAATTGGAAGCACGTGGCGTCGCGTGTTGATTTACCTCACTTTCGGAGCCATATCCAATACTTTACTGAAAATTACGTATACATATTGGCACAGAATGCACAGCATTTAAAAGCTGAATCACCGAGATGAAAAAAAAAAATGCATTTTGCAAAAGACGATCGGAAGGATTAAATTTTCGCGATTTCACAAAACGAATCGTTGAACGTTCCCGATCTCTGCTTGCATTCCAATTAAAAACCATGACGGTGAAAAAAATCGCAAATAGAGGAAACATACGCACGCTTTCTTTAAAATTTTCCCTCGAACGGACCTGATCTACTTTGCGTGCCTCGTACTTGCACTATCCCCAGCTTCTCCCAACGCGTATACGCGGGTGCACCTGCCCATTTCTTCCTTCCCATCAGCTGTCTGGAAAATAAATATTATATCGCTCTCTCTGTGCTCCAATTCCTCGCATCAAAAGCATTTTCACGCTCAAGATCTCGTTTTATCTCCCTTGTTCCACCACCGATCTCCATACTATTACAGTCGCGTGTAAAAGTGCGTTTAATCGAAACAGCAGTTGTAAATAACAATCAACGTCTCGGGTGCGTCACCGTCCTCCCGTAACGTTACTTTTATTCCCCTCTCTCTCTCGGAAAGCACTGTAAGAGTACTTATACATATATATATATATATATAAGGTCGATGTAACAAAAACGCCGCGGCACGCGAAACAACGCGGAGCTCTGCCTTCTCTCTGCGTCGAGCGAGGGAGCTACGCCGTGCAGCCACCAGAGATCGCCGGTCTCGAGCCAGGCGTGCTCGTTGTGCGAGCGTGTCTATATATGTGTATAGGCCGCAGACAGCGGGTGGAGGGAAAAAGAAGCCGAGCCGGTTATTCGACAGACAGTCGTCGCTCCACGTAGCGCACGGACGCACACGGCGCGTGGTGTTGTCTGATACGTGGACTGATTCGGGATATTGTTCGTCCTTTTGATTACTTAATAAAAAAGAGTTTTTTTTTTTTCTCCTTTAGAGAGTATATATTCTCTCAAACAACTTGTAGCTTAGGTGCGAGGAATATGGGATTCGAGGGGTGATATTTTTTAGGGGTGAGGGGATGACCAAGAGTAAAAGTGGGGCGAGGCGTTGGTTGACGTGATTCACCCGTACAGGTGCATACAACACCGTTGTGTGCATTTTTGTTTCCACTGATCATTCCCTCACGAGGATCTACACATGTACGAAGGATTCTCAGGGATCCCGTAAAAAATGTACGTCAACTAAGCAGATGAAAAAAAAAAAAAAAAAAAAAATCATTGCGAGTAAAAGTGATTGACAACACTTGTGTATTTTTTGGATGTGTATGTACGTGCATCGTGCCTCGCGAGCGTTGACAAACAAGGCCTGAGAGATAAGATATACGAAAAAATGATAATCGATATCTACAGGAACGAGCATAAGATACAAGTACGGACCCACGTTTTGTCGAATTTTGGTGTTCTGCGCGTGTTTGTGGGTGCGTGCACGCTATCGATCGATCGCCGGCTGAGGACAGCCTAGGAGGTGCTAGTGCAACCTCCCAGCGTATGCGTGCACCGATAGCGGACGAGTTTTATCTACCCCTTGCTTCCGTGCAGCCGGCAGGACGAGAAATATAAAAAAAAACCAGTTTAGTTTTTTCACCTCCTAGTCCGCCGTCCCTGCGTCGCCTTTTCGAGGGCGAATCTCGAAGGAAAGGGCGTGCAAGAGTATATAATCGGCGGCTGTGATGAGAAAAAGAATCGCGTTGTATCTCGAGTGAGTGTGTTTGAGTGCGCGGTTGTGCATAAGTGACGCAAAAATCACCATTTCCCCCGGAAAGGTGAAGTGCCATGCTCGTAATTCCCCGATAACAAGTAAAATCGTAAAAAATGTTGAGCGCCGAGAAGCAGCAGCGGTCCCGCGTGCCCGAGGACTCCCCGAAGCGCAAGTCGACGTTTTACGTGGCGCTGGACAACAACTCGGCCCCGATCGCCACCTCCTCGGCCAAGCTCCTCTTCCCCAAGTCGGCCTCCTGCGAGTCGTCCTACACCCGGGCCGGCTACCCCCTGGCGACGTCCAAAACCGCCCCTAACGTCCCGACCCTGCTCTCGTGCGTCCAGCAGAGAGCAAACGACAGCGGCTACTCGTCCTCGAGCGGCGGCAGCAACAAGAAGAAGCTCGAGCCTGGCGGGCTCCACCCCAAGGGCAAGGTCCAGTCCCTCACGCGAGTCTTCGAGGCGTCGAAAAACGGCACCAAGACCCCGGTGGGGCCGGAACCGCAGCCGAAGAAGAAGGTGGAGCGCGCCAGGTCGTTCAAGACGATCGAGCGCTTCCAGAACCGATTCGCCGCGAAGAAGGAGCCCGGGAAGTCGGGCAACGCCGGGGAGCCGAGCGAGAAGGTCGTCAACAGGGCGACGAAGAGCAACAGCACCTGCGACGACAAGTCGAAGGCGCCGGTTGAACGGAGGGGCGCCGGTGTTGCTTCGAAAACACCGGTGGGGCAGAGCAGTAGCTCGGGGCTGGCGGGTCTGCTGATCAGGCGGACCAACAGTATCAGGTTGGCGCGGAGCACGAGCGCCCTGGTGCGCGGGGGGAGGCAGCAAGAGCCCGTGGACGCAGACGGCAAGGATAATGGTGCTGGTGATGGTAGACACGAGGAGGAGATTGTCGGGGACTCGGGTCAGGAGTACGACGATGAGCCGGCGAGGAGCACCGGGGGAGCCGACGAGTCGGACACTGACGCCGGCGTTCATTCAGGTGTGTGATGCTCGCTTTGGGCCTACTTCTCTTTGTTTCGTTCTCCTTTTTTCATTTCATCTTTCTCTTTTCGTGACGCACACTCTATACGATTTGAATATAAATTGAGATCGGTATCGCTAGATCAAAGCCACGGTGGAGCGTAGATACGTTTGGTAAACAATTTTTTTTTTTCTTTTCTTTTTCCAATTCTTTTTCAAATACGTTGATACACGCCTCGTTGAAAGTATACAGGAAAAACCACGTGAAAACATAAATAACGCGTTACGTTGCTCCAAAGAAGATTGCGGAAGACCAAGACGGGGATAGAGAGAGACACGCGTTACCCAACTGCGTACGTGTGTAGTACATGCACGAGCCCGTCAATATAGTTTTTTTTTTTTTTCCAATGCGATAACTACTCGCGTTAGTTATAGGCAGCCATGTGTACGTATAAGTAATAGCTCACAGCACGCGGCCACGGTATCAGTGTCGTTAGTTAGACACTCCGGGACGATGATGAATTCTTCCCATTTTTCGTCTCAGCGTGTCTATATAACGTCTTGTACGTTGATCAAATCGTTTTATCCGCTGTATTGCGCGTCAAACTTGAACAACGAGTGTATTATGCGGACGATACTAATGATCACAGCGTGCGGGTGCGCGTCACGATGAGAATTTAGAAAAGTGACTCTACAGCGTGTGTATACCATATATATATATACAGTAGGAACCCAATTAGCCGCGAGGGAGAGACAGATGGAGGGTCGCGAAGATAATTGTCATATAGGCGTGAGAATTACGGTCCCCGAGCTCTTTGCGGCAAATTTATACACATAGAATATACCTATATACGTACGCGTGTACGCGTAATCCGTTTTCTGCTTCGCTTTCGCGCTGTTACTTTTGCTGGTTCATTAAACGCCGAGCCTTTCTTTTTGTTTTTTGCGAATAGAATTATATGGCGAATAGCGAGATTATGGGTTGTTGGGTTACCGTGGCCATGTGCGAGTGCGACTGAGTGAGAAAAACGGGAGTAGATATAAACGTATATGGGTGCACGTGGTTGCTCCTTTTTTTTTTTTTTTTTTTGCGTTTGTCACTCGTGGGTATAACGAGCACGCACGCGAGGACATTTACGTGCTGTCGAGAAAGAGTGCACCGCAAAATTAGACGACTATAATTGGATGTGGCGAAATATTTTGGGTCCCTACGTAATTTTTTTTTTTCTACATTCGATTGTACAGACATCATTTTTTTATGGGCCAAACAATGAAAAAAAAAAAAAAATCTCCAATCTACATCGATTCATTCAACGTATAGAAGAGTCACATGTGGGTGTTTTGCAGAACGAACAGTGATTTCGTAATGCGCACATCAACAATGTGTCACGCTTCGACGTTGAATGTACTTAAACATGCAAATCGACAACGAGTTGGAAGTTGGAAGTCACTTTTCTCAATACCAACGTACATTATATACAATCATCGCGTGCTACAATCGCTCTTTTATTTATCACGCGACAACTATGTGGGTCACCTGCATCTTCCTCTCTGTCTCGTCAATTTTTAATAGTAGAGGAATTTTTTGCAAGCAAGTTTTTCGTCTTGACTTTTTGTTTGCTTTTTTTCTCACTCTTGCAAGGGGAGGCCCGTCTTGTTCAAGGGAGTCGTCAGTGTATCTCTTTTGCGATTCCTTTTGCTCTATGTATTATTACAGCCGCGTCACGCGCACATATCCAAAAAAGGTCATGGATAAAAAGTACCGTTTTAAACCGACCTCTCGAATAAAACACGCGTCTGCGAGCCGGAGAATACAAATATATTCCACTGCGGGTGACTAATGGACAAAGCGAATGTCCAAACTTCATTTTCATTTTCCAAATGCTCGATGAGAGTTCTCACGCGTTGGGATCACCAACGGTACAAATTCTTGAAATTTCTCAATAAAAGCATTTCACATTGGTATCTATTTTCAACAGCTAAGAAGAAACACGTTTTGTTTTCATAAATCCGCACGAAAGAATTAATCCATCAGCAGTGAAATAGTGCCCCGGTATAAGCTTTATACACTCTACAGACGTACCGTATATTCACTTTTACAGGAAGAAAGATGTACTTACTATGCGAAACGATAATAATACATCACTACTTTTTTACCCCTGACGCAACACACCGCAGTACACACGTACGGAGTTTGAAACCGTGTACTATTTCACGACAGCTCTCGAAATCAGAACAATTCCTCGGAAATTGATGTGCGAGAATAACTCGTATTGCTTACTATAGAAAATAAAAATAGAGGCACAGAGCACCGCAGAAGAAAAAAACAACTCCGAGCCTCTGGACCGTGAAACAAAAAACTCGCGCAAGAGCATTAATAACGCGAGGTACAATCGATGCTTGGACACCCGAGTAGAACCTAGAATATAATATTATACTGTACATCGCGATAAATCGACCGGTTTTAATTATCAGTCACGCCGTCAGCGACGATGTATTCGATTGTGCGTTGGCGTGTGTAGTTATGCGCGCTGCTCTAAGCAAACAACCAAACGAGAGAACCCACGGCTTGCGAAACATAATTATTATCCAGTTCGATCTAGTCGCGTCGTCACGCTTCGAGAGCTCCTCTCGTCGTGCGTAAGCTCACGCTAATTCGGTGTGTACACAGTATCGGCGATATCAGATCTCACTGCATCACCTATGTATACGCCTCGGCAAAGCTTTGCTCGTTCAACCATACGCGGTGATAAGACGTTTTGCCCTTCTAATCTCTGGTTTTGCTGGAACTAATTACGATTATTGGTTAATTTTCTTTTCTTCCACGACACCTTATGTCTCAGTAGTTGGCGAATCTACTGTGAAGAGGAGATGAGAAAAGGGGGCATCAGTCTACTGAAATTGTAATCGTGACGAAAATGTATCTTGAATTTTTATTCAACCTCCCACTGACACTTGAAATATAGGCTGATTACAAAGGATCGTTGGATTGACGAATGTACTCCCATGGATTGGTTGAAATTTTGTAGTTTCAAAACATACGCTATCTAAGATCGGTGATAAATTTACTCGCTCGAGTCCAAACGTGACCAAAGATGGTGTAAAAAGAAAATAAATAAATGGAAAAAAAAAAACGAGCATCGTCTCGAAATTATTGAGGGCGAGGGAGTTGTACAATAAATATCATCGCAGAGCACGAGAGTCTAGTGGTACAGGTATTCCTTGATTGAGATACCTAAACTCTTGAGGCACGTTTTCAGTCAGAGATTCGACGATCAGATGAATACGGTTCAAGCAGTCGAATTTTGATGTATACCCTTTGTCTCTCGCGCTGTTCTTATAAAATTAGCCATAAATATACTTTTTTCGATAAAAACCCCAAAAACAGGGTTATCAATAAATTGTCCGAATTCTGGGATAGTAACAAGTATAAGACTAACGAGCGTCAACATCAATGTTCCGCTGTAATCGTCAGGCCAACCAATAGCCGAGACCTGAGCTCTCTTTCACCGCCCCAAACGCGTATGAGGTACTTAAGAGTAAAAAAAAGCTCAACCTGTCTCGGGCTCTGTACTCCACACACACACACACACACTCACCCAAGGAACATTTCGGGAGTGTATGCGGGGAGAAGACCATTCAACTCTTAGCCGTGCACCTGCCTCTCTTTTTCCTTCCAGACGAGTGGAGGAGAAAAAAAAAAGGGTCCATCCAAGCTGCACCAGCCACGGAAGGAAAAAAGAGAACGAGAAAATCGTGCCCTCGCGATGAGTATTTTTCTTGGTTTTTATTTTCCATTTTTTTTTTTTTTTTTTTTTTTTTCTTTTTTTNATCTCGCGTGCATTTTTCTTCCCCCCGGCACGCGACGAAAAATCAGTACGATGCACATCGGTTTCCGTGCACTCCACGGCAGGGGTTTTTTTTTTTTTTTTTTTTTCCATTTTTTTTTTTTTTTTTTTTTTTCCATTTTTCATGTGTGTGTATATATATACGCGCGCTCGACTCGTCTTGAGTTCCTTGGATGCCTCAAGCGCGCTACGTTACGGGGACCACATTACCATGCCATGCTGTTTATATATATACCGTGCCGTGCCTCTGGTTGCTGCGCAGCTTACTTGTGCACATGTACATCGGTGGCGCTGAATAACAAGCCACGTTTAATGATGCCTTTGTTCGATCAGTAAAGAGGCGAATAACCCCCCTCCCCTGCCTTGATCGCGACTCGATAAGTACAGTATACCCTTTGTGTGTGTGTGTGTTTGTACCACAACAGCAGGTTCCGAAAATATCAGCGGCGAGATGGGTCGATCAGAATTTTCTTCGGATTCCCGTGTGTACACAGCACACAGGTGGGACTCACTCGAGTGAGCTCGTGTTGATTTGTTTTTCTCGATACGGAGATCAATTAATTATGGAGATTGCACCGCCGCAGAGGCATTATAGGCGAGGCTGCAATGCAGTACGTGGGATTTGGATAACTTTCCGTTTGATTGGGCGGCACGTTGAAACCTCTCGATATAATTGTGATGTGTATACGTAATGGGCTAAAGGTATGCCCAAGGATACCGTCCTCCAATACCAATGCATCTTCATTGATCTACTTTGGTGACTCGAGAGTATACAGTCTTTCCAAGACTTTCTCCATGCACTTTTAGTAGTGCAGCTATGTTTTGCAAACTGAAAAAGCATTATTTATTGTACGAATGAAAGTACGAAAAACGTTCATTACATCACCGTAAACAACAAAATATACATCTCGTTACTTTCCTGTATGAGTTGGCTGTGCAACGCCATGATATAAACTTTTAATTCATGACAAGCCAGCGCAGAGTCCTTTCTTTGATAGTTACTAACGTATATTATCATGTAGGTGTAAGTAAAGATACAGTGTTGATATAAATTCAGCCAAAGTGTTTCCAAAGCGCGCATTTTCTGCACCAATATGTTTCGACGACCAAGTGCTCTTTACGCCGTCCATTGCACCGATACGGGTAGTTCAATAATTTTCAGGACTAAAAT